CTACTCATCCATTTACCCACCCACCCACCCAGTTGCACACCCACCAACCCATCCATCTATCCATTCATGCTTCCATGCAAGCCCTGCTAACTACCATGTGCCAGGCACTGGGATAATCATGAGGCTGCAGAAAGAAGGAAAAGCTGTTTTCTGCCCTTACAGTCATCTCAGGCTCTAGGAGACACATAAACATCTTGACAGAACACCACATCGGAGACCCCCGGCAGGAATATGGAGGGCACAGGAAGAAGTCATCTTTACGTGCCCCCCAGTTCTCATGGGGATGAGAAGAACAAACATGCATCAAGGACTGAGAAAGGATGACTGAAGGGATGTAGCTCATGTAGACTCTTCGTGTTCAAGGAACCGCAGGCAAGAGCTAAGCTCAATGCTGTCTGTGCTTTCTACAGCTGGGGCAGATATCTTAATCTCTCTAAGACTCAGCTTCCTTGTCAGAAGGGGTTGATCAGGTGCCTGGAAGGGAGTTGACAGGAAGACAGTGGGATAGCACGAGCAACAGTTCAAGAGAAGCACAAAGCCTGACACCTGGACATGTGTCACCTGGTTCCCCAAGCCCAGTAGGCCCTGAGGAAACCACCAGGCTGGAGGGTTGGACCTCTCAGGGGATGCAATGGAACCACATGCATTGTTTACCTGGTCTCCCTGGGGGACACTTTTACTGGTTCTGTGACGTTGAAATTGCTTTTTTCTCTCTCCCCTTCTTCCTCTACCCTCTGTCCACCTTTTATTCCTCCTGCTCCTATGCCTGCCCTCCCTGTCATCCTAACTGGAAGAGCAGAAGCCGTCCTCCTTCTACCCAGATGAACTGACCACGTCTGCCTGACTCCGTGTTCCCGGTTTCCACCGTGGCCTCATTTCTGAAAATGACACCATCAGCTGGGGTCTAGAAAACTACTGCGGAAGGGTGCCTCCCCCTACCCCACCGGATTAAATACACAGTGACTCTGCAGATCACACCTCTCAAATACAGTGCTTCCCTGTTCCGCCCACTGGCCGGGCACCCACCTGCCTTGGCTCACCCCTCCTCCCCGCTGGACTGCCATCTCCTTGCTCCCTCATTTGGTTGTCCCCTCCCCCGTGATCTTCCAAAGCAGAGCCAGACCAGACCTTCTGCAGGTTTAAAAGCCATCCTAAGCCAGGTGTCGTGGTGCACGCCTGTAATCCCAGCACTGGGGAAGCTGAGGCAGGAGGATTGCCACGAGTTCGAGGCCAGCCTGAACCACAAAGCAACTGTTTGTTTAAAAAAAAGCCATCCTTGGTCTCCTGAAGCCCTGAGGCCTAAGCAGTGACAATGGTCCACACTTGTGCCCCACCTTGTCCCTTGCCCCCACCCCTCTCTTGTGCTCTCTCTTGTCACAGGGTGCTCTTTTTCCAGTCCCCAAACTTGACAAGCCTTTTTTCAGCCTGGGAACTGTATCTGCACTGCCGGGCTGATCCCTCGTCCCTCCTCTGCATGGCTGTCTCCTTTCCTGGAAGCCCTTCAGTGCAGGGGTCACTGGAAACTGCTCTAGTTACTCTGGGTCCTTCCCTTCATCTCTCACGTGGGACTTTGGGTTCTGTTCCCAGAGCATCTGCAGACTGGGAAGCGCCTACCACACAGTAAGTGCTCAATAAACCTGAGACAAGCGCATGAGTGAATAAGGGAGCAGGTTATGAGGAGTGAGCCAATGATGCCAGGCAGTGTGCATTTGAGTCAGCCAGGAAGCCAACACTTGGCTGTGTCCTGGGTGCCCCATTAGTACCTGTGGCGATTGTGGCTGTGAAGGTCACAGCAATCCAGGACCCTAGTGGAGTTTCTGAAGAGGACCCTGCTTGGCTTGTCACCTGGGTGCCTTTGAACTCCTGCTGCCTGTCTACCAGCCCTCAAAGTCCCCATCTGGCTCTCAACTGTCACCTCAGAAGGGGCTTTCTCCCCAGTCCTCCCTCCTCTGCTCCCATGGGTCCTTCCTGTTGTGGTCCTGGCTGTGGACAGCTGGATAAGGGCTCCACAAGATGTCCACAGAGTAATCCTCAGAACCTGTGACTATTGACCCCAGGTGGCAAAGGGACATTTCAGAAATGATGACGTTAAGGGTCTTGGGATGCAGGTAACCCTGGATTAGCTGGGTAGGCCTCTGAAACCCCAAGACTCCTCCCCGGAATGAGGCAGGGGGATTTGACATAGAAGGGACGCAGGCACAGACTGGAGCAGTGTGGCCACAGCCTCAGGGACAAGAGGACCCTGGGAGCTGCAGGAAGCCAGAAGGGGCCTCCCTGGAGCTTTCAGAGGGTCCAGCCCTATAGACACTGGGTTCACACTGCTGCATTGAGGATCAGAAAGCTTCTGTCTAAGAGAGACAGAAGGGGTCCAGAAAGTGCGTTTCCCATTCACCCTAATTTTCAAAAGCTGTTTTATACAGCAGAGCCATGTGATGAGGCGGGTACAAAGTGGGACAAAACTGTAAGACTCAATGGAAAATTACAAGGTGGGCATGAGGTGGGGCAAAACCATGACCAACCAATAAGATTACCACTACTGTCACCCAGGTAATTTTGATTAAATGGGTCAAATGGGGGCAGAATCATTTCTATAGTCAGAAACCACATGTTTGTGGGTATTTATCCTGGAGTCGCCCTAAGCCGATTCTCGGTCCAGCAGGTGTACTCAGACACCCTCGGAAGCCGGCTCATGGCGAAGGACCGTCACAACTTTCTCTTTGGTGATTAGAGCCACGAGTGGCTGCTCTGCTCAGGGTGGCTTATGGGCTCCAACTGCTCTGAGAAATGGGAGTCTTTGCACATACATGTGCACAGAACACACGTGCATGCGTGCACACACACGGTTGCCCTCAGCTCAGCTCAGCACTTTGGAAATGAGAAAGGAAGAAGCTGCCAAACAGTGGGGGGCCGGCCACAAACTAACGGCGACCCCTAACCTCGCACCCTGACACCGTCCACCGGTTATCTTGTGTTACAGGGGCTTAAATTGACAGACCACTTCATTATCCTACCGGACAGATTTAACAACATATCCGCCTCCATTGCGTAAAAAGTGAGCTTGTTTGTTTAGGTATATTTCTTCCGAGAGAAACCAATAGTGAGTGCCCTAACTGGTAATGAAATGATGGATCTTTTAAGAAAACAAAAAGAAACATATTTTTAAAAATCCCATGGGTGTATTTAGCTTAATTATTTGAAAGATAAATGAAAAGCACAGAGGTTCAAAATCCAGATGAATCTAAAATATACAGAGGCCCATTCGACACTCCCCAGACCAGGATCCTCAGAGCATGTGAGTTAACCCCGTCCCACCCAGGCAACTAACACTTCCCAGCGGGGAGGCGCTGCCCTGTGTCTGAAGCCTTGGATGCATCCATCCCTGGCTGACATCTAGAACTCTTGTCGCCCATGTGTGATCGGGCTGGCATTTCCCAGGATGCAGAAATGGCTACTGCTGTCAAATGGCCACAGGCTGTGGCCTCACTGTGTGCCAGGAGCCTCAGAAGACAGTCCCCACCTTGTTAATGGGAAGATGGAGAATGAACCACACACACACTGTGTGCTTGTCTGGGAGGAGGAGTCCCAAGAAGACAAAGCAAGCAGAAGTGATTCAGAGTGTGGTGGTCACACTCACAGAATCAGGGGACACCTGGCTGGGGTGATGGTTGAGCAGTCATCTCAATGAAGAAAGGGCAGGAGACACATGAATCCTTGGGGAAGTGTATTCCTGGCAGAGGAAATAGAAAGTACAAAGGCCCTGGGGTAGAAACCTGTCTGCGGTGTTTGAAGACCAGTAAGGCAGCCAGTGTGGCTGAGCAGAACGAGGGAAGGGTGAGAGAATGCGGTCAGTGCCGTGGGTCGGGCCAGACCAGGCACAGGCTTTGGAGGGGTGAGAACCACAGAGAAGCAGGGTCTGCAGCTCAGAAGAGAACAGCAATTTGGGGAGGACTCTGAGAGCTCCTAGCAGAACTTTGATCTAAGTCTGCTCGCTGCAACCTCTGATGATCATCTTGAGAAGTCGATCCTGACCCCTTGAGTAGCAGCAGCAGGAAGGACAATGTCCCTGCCGCCGCCACCACCACCACTGTAACCATCGTCTGCAACACTGTTGCTGTTATTTGTATCGTGTATCATCATCGCCATCGTCACCGTTAATCCCCTCTTCACTGTCATTGTCCTCACTACCACTAACATCACCGCCACCACCATCAACACCATCCTTGTCATTACTGTCACTTCTGTCACTGCCACCACCATGCTCAGCACCATCCCTGCAGTGGAAACCAAGCCCCTCCTACTCTCCTGAGGACTGGGTTATGATTCTGGATGTCGCTGTTTAGTCCCCACAAGTACCTCATGGTCTAGATAGTCCATTGCATGCCTGGTGTGGAGAGCAATCTGAGGCTCAGAAAGGTCCAGAGACCCGCCAAGGCCATAGCTAGGAGACCAGCCTCACGGAGCTCACTGCTGGTCTCGGCAACACCACTCAGCCCGGCAGATCCCTGAATGATCACACACAGGCCTTTATTTTATTTATTTGTCCATCTATTCCCCTCCAGCTGAGACCCTCAGGTGGCTCAGATGTTGTGGGAACCCAGCATCCCAGCACTGAGTCCTTGCAGCCACCTGTCCTCCCCGTGTGTCCTTTGAGTGTGCCTGTTGGGTCCCTGGGGTTCTCTATGGTCCTTGACTCGCCAGCACATGGCCCAGGGGAGTAGATGAGGGTCCCTGTGCAAGCCAAGGGGCTCCAGCGAGGGCTCAGCGCTCTTCTCAAGGGGAGGCAGCTGGGGCTGTGGGACCCCAGCTCTGCCCCTCTGCCAGCTGAGTCTGGGCTTCTGTGGGCTATGACTGCCCAGAGCAGGCACAGCTCAGTCGGGCAAGCTGCTGGCAGAGGTGATACTTCAAAACCCGAGCTGATACTGGATCAGAATGAAGGTCTTAGAGCCTCAGTTTCCCCATCTGTGAACTGGGAAGACAGTCTTGAGCCCTGACCTCTGACGCCAGGGGCAAGGATGAGTGGATGGAACCTGGGTGCCTGGCACAGATGAGAAGTGAGCTGGCTGTGAGAGTTCTTATGGCCACCAATGGGCTTGGAGGAGGAGCTATTCTCTGAGGCAGAGACAGCTGCTGTGAGGGTCCCCTAATAATTATTCCTAATATTCTTGGGGAACCACAGCTGCCCCTTTCAGTCCTGGGGTTCAGAACAGTGGATCTCCCAGGTTCTAGGAGAGAGGCCATTTGGTCTACTTCTGGTCCGTGACAGCTAAGCATCCCCCAGGCCACCGTGACTCATTCAGGGATGGACACAGATGTGAGGCAAGATTATCAGAGCTGATCTTGGAACATCCGGGAGGAGGGTCCAGGGACAAGCACTCCCTGTCCACAGGGCTGCACACACTGCAGGCTGGAAGCTTGGCTGTTCATCTGACCACAGAGTCTTTCTCAGGGTGGTCCCAACCCAAAGAACAGCAGAGACAAGAGATGGAGAAAGATAGAGCTTTGGAAACGTTGGCTCCCCGGATGCAGCTGTACCTGAAGCTGGTCTTGGGTTTTCTGTCATATACAGCCTGAACATTTCTGAACATCAGAAGTGGGATGCAATGAACCTACATTCTCTTGAGTGTGGGTTTGGTGGAAGCCACCCCCCAAATTCACACAATCGAAGCACAAATTTTCACTTCAGGCCAGCCTTCCTCAGCCCACTCTGGGAAGCCCTTTTCTTTGACTCTCAGCCTGCAGATGCCTGGGACAGAGACACACGCTCCTCAGCAGATTCTGGGAAGGAAATTTCTACATGAATTCATGAACAGAGTATTTTTAAGCCATCTAGTGATGGTTTAAATATTTGACATTTCTTAAAATAAACTGAGATCTTCCCAGATGGGTAGTCTCGCAGTCTGAATACAAGGCTATGACTCCAAAACTAGAACAAGACAAAAGCCGATCTCCCCCAGCCCTGACATCAGCAGCAACTGGGCCATCTCAGTACTAGGCTGGCCCAGC